ATCCCACGTGCCGCGGAGCGGCTGGGCCCGTGAGCCATGGCCGCTGAGGCTGCGCGTCCGGAGCCTGTGCTCCGCAACAGGAGAGGCCACAGCAGTGAGAGGCCCGCATACCATAAAAAAAAAAAAAAAAAAATGGTTAAAATGGTAAATTTTGTGTTATGTCTATTTAACCAAAATTTTAAAAATGACATAGAAAAACAAAAGAATGTATAGTTTTTATCATCAGGGATATTTCAATAAAGATTCTTTTATAGATCAGGGAAATAAGACATGGAAGCCATTTTCCACCAAGGACAGGCCCATGGGGGAACCAGGATGGGCTTGGTGAACGGGGATGGCCTGGGTGCCCTGTCACCTGGCCCGCTTTGGGATCATCAAGTCGCGTGTTGCAGGGGAAGGACAAAGGAGGGGATCAGGTCATCTCACAGGTGCCTAGAGCTTGGAGGGGACCTGGAGGGATCCTGGACCTGGGACTTCTTTTGATGCTGGCAATGGCGATGAGGATGGTGATCATTGATGCCCAAGCATCAACTGGCATTCGTATGAGCCATACACTTTCGTGTAATGCTTCAGGGAAGTGTCCCAGCAGCCCACTAGACAGATGAGGAAAATGAGGCTCAGAGAGGCAAAGTCATTTGCCCCGGTTCCCACAGCTGGGCCAGGATTTGCACCCAGGTCCGGCCAACTCTGGAGCCAAGCTTGTGCCAGCTGCCAAGATCCCTCCTGGCTTTTGACGTTTCCAGAGTCTAGGCAGCACAGCACACCCTTGGGGAGGAACGCGGGGACCAGGGCAGAGAACTTCCTCCTGGCCCAGCTGGGACTCTTCCCGGGTCCAGTGTCTGCAGCTCCATTTCCCGAGGCTCCTGCGTTTTCCGCTTTGGGGCCAAGGAGAGCCCAAGTGCCAATTGTATAGGGGAAGGGCTCTGCCCTCAGGACTCTGCTGGGTGCCCTGGTGCTCAGAGAAGGGTGGGCAGGAGCAGGCAGGGCCCCCTCAAATCTCAGGGCCCCGCAGCTTCCACGTCTGCCTGCCACCCACTGTGCTAAGTGCTTTACCAGCTCCCCTTGAATCCCCACCACAGTCCTGAAGCCCCATGTACAGATGAGAAAACCGAAGCTCAGGGATGGGAACTGACTTGACCAGACCTACTGAGTAAGGGTCAGAGTGAGGACCCAGACAAAGTCCATTCCAACCTCAGAGCTCCAGGATTGAAAGGCCGCGCAGGACCCCAAAGACTAAAGAATAGACAGATCTGTGCAGTTTGTGCTCCACGGGTGGTCTTTCTTCCCTGGACAGAGAGTGGTGTGGGCAGCTCTTCTTGGCAGGTCAGGTCAGAGCTGTGGGATTAACCCGCCTTGGCTATTTGCTGCAGTTTACTGGGTCCACATCCCCACGAAGTGCCCCAGGCCCACAGACCACCGTGTCTGTTCTGAGCAGCTGCTCTGTGCCAGGCTCTTATGTCTCTGTCATGTCAGTACCTGGATATGCCAGCAAACGTGCTGGTAAAAGAGAAAACTCTTCCCAGGTGCCTCCTCGCTACTCACAAGCTTCAGCGTGGATTGGGTGGTAAGCCTGACCTGCAGACGGATGGTGAGGGGGGGGGGCAAGGGGTTTGCAGCCTGGAGGACTTGGATTTGCTTCCCAGATCTACCACTTACGGGCATGTGGGGGTGGGCAAGTCCCTTGACCCCTCTGAGCCTCAGTTAACTCTGTAAAGTGGGTGTATTAATATTTACATTACACGGTCATTAAAAAGATCTTAAAATCATGAAATACAGGACATTCATGGCATAGTACTTGGTACATAGTGAAGCTCAATAAATGATGATTTTAAAAACTTAGAAATGACTGTCCTTCTTATTCAAGAAGGGAGGCACCTCGAACTTTGCTCTTCATTCTATGAAGCAAACTCCTTTGTGTCCCCAGAATCTGGTTGCTGGAAAGAGCCAGAAGCCTCATCTTAACAAACTGTTAAGATGTTAAGAGTTGTTCCCAGCTCTAGTCCTGGCCCCATCAATGACTAGCTACATGGCTGTGGACAAATCATCTCCCTGTAGAAGTGATGATGTGGTTTATGCAAAACCGGGCACGTAGTAAGCGCTGAGCAAATTATGAACACAGCTTCACCACCTCCATCATCTTACGCGGAAGGAATGTGCAGACAAGGTCTAGGGAGCAGGTTTGAGGGGAGGCTCAAGGATGCTCTCCCACCTCCATCCTTGGACACCTGACCCCCAACACAGTTTCCTTGAGCTACTGCTCTGTGTCAGGCTGCAGCGGGCACCGGGGAAACTGGGTAATGAGACCAGGGTTCTGCCCCCGCAAACACCCGGCCCAGCACCTGGGCCACCTTGCTCTGTCCCTCTGTCCCAAGCCCAGGGCACATTGCCTGAAAAGAGCACAGGCCTGGATGTCAGGTGCAAATCTTCAGACCTGGTGTAAATCTCCCGCTCTGAAGCTTTGGCCAAGTTGCTTTATTTACAGGAGCCTCAGTTTCCTAATCTGTAAAGTGGGAATGGTAATAGCACCAGTCACATGGGACTGTTTATTTGGCATAGTAACAAGTAATGTAAATCATTTAGGAATAAGAACAAGAAAACGTTGATGGTACCAGACCCAGCCATCTCCTGCACGAGGAACTGCTGTTCTCCCCTCCCTACATCCCACCCACAGAGTGTCCACCCCAGATGCTCTGAGACCTGAGTGGGGAGCCACACTGTATTGCAACTTCCCCTGGGATGGCAGTTCTCAGTGGCCCAACACACACCCCTTTGGAAGTGGGACCCCTTGTCAGTGTTTGCTTAGCCTGAGCCATTCCCCCCACCCCCGACTTGTGCCCCAAATCGTGGCTGTGCTGGGAAGGGCCAGGAGATCAACACGGCCCACCGTGGAGGGTGGCAGCAGAGGGTCCCCGAGCACCTGGGGGATCTGGAGGTGGCTGGAGGGTGGGCCGCATGGGGGCTGGGCATCACCTCCTGGATAGAGGGCAAGGCCTGCTTTCCACGTGGCGCCCACGTGGCACTTGGCACAGGGCAGAGCTCAACTGAAAGACGCTGGTGACAAAGACTTTGCAAAAACAAACCAAAGCTCACCAGGCCCTCCTCTCTTCCAGCGACTCACCCAGGGAATCGGTACGTAAGGACTCCAGGAGGCCACGAGTGGGTGGGAACCCCAGACTGGACCCCTGCACCCCCAGGCCCTGTGGGAGGATCCTGGGCGGCTTGCAGGGTCCCTGAGCCAAGCAAGGGGGTTGATGGGAGCAGCTCACAAGTGCTGCCTACAAGCAGCCTAGGAACTCAAGGACCCCAGCCTATGGGATGGGGTGTTACAGGGTTAGACACCTCACTGCAGAGCACCCGCCAGACTCCTGGCCACTTCCCTCGAGGTCACGGCCTCCAGCACCCCTGTTCAAGCTGCTTCTGTTTTCCCAGAGCAGGGCCCTTCCTCAGAAGTTCCCGCTGGGGCCCCGCATTCTCAAGGCCCTCACTTTGCAGGGGGCTGTCACCTGGGCATCCTCAGCTCTCTTCCCCAAGCCGGAGGCTTGCCTGTTTCTGGGGCACCCTCCCTGCCTAACCTCATTAAATTGTTCCAGTCGGTTTCTGAGGGCCCCGCTGGTCCTGCTGGGGTGGGCTCCCTCCCCGGGCCTGGCGGGGTGGGTGGTGGACGGCGGGCACACTCACCCAGAAGTAGGTTCATGAGCACCTCCTGGCCGGCTAGCGTGCTGCTTTTCACCAGGCAGAGGATGGTACCCCCGATCCAGGGGATGCCGTGGCCTGTGATGCCAATGAGCTTGACCATGGAGCGGGCGCTGGCCCAGGACGCAGCCCGGCCGGCGCACACCCCCAGGCGCTTGGACATGCAGATGTCAATGGCCAGCAGGGAGTTGAAGGCGATGCCCTTGAAGGAGGGGTTCAGCTGCATGCAGTCCTCCTCGGGCAGCTGCTGAGACTGGCGCCGCTCGCGGGCCCCATCGCCAGCGCATGAGGGCTGTGTCGAGGGGCCCGAGGCCTTCCTGCCCGAGCTGCGGGGCTCCGGCGCCCCCTTCGGGGGCTGGTTCAGGGACAGGAACTCGGCCCGGTTGAGGACGTTGTTGCGGTCCCGGGCCCGGGCCCGGCTCTGGGAGGCAGGCATGGTGACAGTCACCCAGCGAGGGCCGGTGCCAGCCTGGCTGTGAGGCCCTTCTCTCCAAAGACGGAAGCCTGGAGCCTCCGTTGCTCCCGGCCTCCCCTCTTGCTCTGCGGCAGCTGTTAAATATAGAGTGCGGGACTGCACATGGCTGTTTACCTCCGGCTGCCACCAGGCTCCCAGGGAATGTCAGTGCCAGCTGGGCAGCCAATCGAGCCCCCCAGTGCGGGCCAACGCCAATGGAGCCACCCAGGAGGTGGACACGTCCACAGCTGCAGCCTGGCTGCCTCGGGGCCTGGGCTATTTAAATCTTCCAATGGCTCGCTCCCGGGGTTTGGGGGACTCTGGGAAATGTAGTCCTCCTGCTGCTCTGGCCTCGGCTGTGCCCCAGGCCAGAGGCCTAGATGGGGGCCCCCGACTCAGCCCTGCTTTGACCAGCTTCACTCTGAGCAGGCCAGACCCCTGTGAGCCAGGCCCGCCTGACCCACTGGCCTGGACAGCTTGGACCTGGTCCCGTGGACTAGACGGTGAAGTCCAGGCCAAAGGCCTCTCCGGACACCAGATGGAGTGAATGACGTCACTGAAAGCATCACCCTGGGTCCACTGGGGCTGGGCCCAGCCCCTCCCCTCTGTGACAGCATTTCATTAAGCTGGCTGGCTGGGTTTTTTTTATTTTCAATCAGTCTTGAATCGGGCTTCAGTGCATGACTGTTCAATCAAATGGCAATCTGTAAGATTCTCTTTCCATTAGAGGGAGGGGTAATTAATTGGTTGGTAATGGATCTGCCCCTCGGAGGTGGCCTCCACTGCCCGGAAGCTTTGCGAAGGACAGGATCAGTAAAGCAGCTTCAGGCAACCCGTAACTAGTTCCCGAGCTCCTGGACCTGTGCTAGGTGCCTGGAACACTGCAGCGAATGGAACACATCGCATGCGGCCCTGTCCCCGGGAAGCTCACAGTTCAGCGGGGATTAAACGAATGACACGTGTGAATAATTGCAAGCGTGCAGATGTGTTGCAGGATCATAGAACAGGGCTCCGGGCCTGGCCTGGGAGTTGTGGAGGGATTTCCCCCAGAAGGAAAGGCAGGTGAGAGGCCCTGGGCGAGGGAGAGCCTACCTCCTGCCCTCCTGCGAGGTTTGGGGGCCCCTGTGGCAGTACATGGACTGAGGGGGCAAGAGAGGCTGCAGACCCAGAGAGGGGCAGACCACGAGGGCCCAGCCGAGGATTTGGGGTTTGAGTCTGGCCTCCCTGACTGCAGGAACCCAAAGTCTCCACAGCCCTTTTAGGGCTGACTGGGCCCGGGCTCAAGGGGAAGCCACTGGTTTAGGGCAAGCAGCAGAGTCAGGGGTGAACGCCCTGGTCTCATGATTCGCGGCACCCAAGGCCTGTCTGCCCAGTGGGGATGAAGGCGGGAGTCCTTCCAAGTGTGGAGACCCCCGTGAAGCCTCAGGCCCACCCCACAGCCTCCCAGGGACCAGGGCCAGAGCCTCCCAAGGACAGGAAGCTGCCTGGGGTGGGAGTGAGTGCTCTGTGGTCACAGGGGACCAGCCTGGGGGCTCCAGAGTCAGACCGATGAGGAATAACCTGGGGCTCTGCCACCAACTAGCTGTGGGAACTGAAGCAAGTCACTTGGCCTCTCTGGGCCTAGTTTTCTCCTCTTGTAACATGGGAACACTAGTGTCCACCTTCCAAGAGCTGTTGTGAAGTCGATGAGATGATGTTTGTAAAATGCTGACAAGGGTCCCTGCCACATAGTGAGCCTTCAAGCCTATGGGTTAGGAATTGATCCTATTTAACAAACAAGGCAAAGTCCTCTCTCCGTCTGAGTGCCCCCTTCAGAAGGACTCACCCCCAAGGTCTGGCCCCTACTCCGTACCTGGCTGGTGTGAAGCCAGACACCAGGAACCCTCAGTCTGGGGTTCCTTGTGGACTCCCTGGCACTTCTCTTCCAGAGTGCTCCCCTCAGAACATGCACCCACAGAGAAGGACGTCCCAGACTGTGTCACATCCCTCCCTGTTGGGTGTGGCCATAATGGCCTGTGCTGTCTCATCCTGGACCCTGGACAGATGTACATGAAGATGTGCACAGAATGCATGGGTAGTGGGCAGTGTACTGTGCTCTCTATTTGCTTTAGTTTATTGACACCATATAACCAACCTTCCTGTGAAGTCAAGACATCATCCCCACTTTACAGACAAGGAAGCTGAGGCTCAGAGGGGTGAAACCCAAAAGAGGTGAGGCCCAACTCCCAAGAAGTCCCTGGGGTGGGATACAAGGGCCTCCAGACTCAGATGCCTCAGACCACAGGGACCTGGATGTGCCCACTTAGCTGTCCACCAGGGCACTCACCCCACTCTCCCTGGGTGGGGCCCATGACCTGGGCTGACCTCAGGAGGGGAGGAGGAGCCCAGCCCAGATAGGGGCTATTAATACCCAGAGGCCTGTGTCAGCACTTTGGCCTGGAAAGAGCTGCTGGCAGGTTCTGAGGGCTACAATGGGCTCCATGCTGGGGAGGGCCATGGAGTCCGACTGGACTTTGGCCTAGGAGTGGTGAAAAGTGGGCTCTGGGCTGGGATAACCCTGGGTTCAAACCCCTCAGCAACCTCTACCTTAGTGACAGCAGGCAAGTCCTGCTAGCACTCCTGGCCTCTGTTTCCCCCTCAGGGGGCTGGTGAGAGCCACTCACTCAGACTGAGACCTTCTCCTCCATCTGTAAGTTAGGGTGACCTTGTTTACACCCTCAGACAGCTGAGAAGCAGGCACCATCCCTTTATGAGTACCTACCATAGCCCACACAGTCCCACTTCTCAAGAGTCTTAGAATTCATTCATTCATTGAATTGATGCTTTCATTGATCTCTTCCTGCAGTTTTGTTGGGGAGATAGGATAAACACCCATGAAATAGCTAGCCAGTTTATAAAACAATCTACTTTTACCAATAGCCTTATTTTTTTCTTACTGTCAACATTTTATGGTCTTACTGCAATAAATTCAATAAATACAGATGATCTAGATATAATCCTACTGCCTGGAGAGCACCACTGTTAACATGAGGGTGGCCAGGTTATAAAGGGATTCTCACTTGTCTCATTGCCAATTATTGAAATGTTTTATGACAACCAAGTATTACTTTAATAATCAGAAAGAAGATCTATTAAACAAACTATACCTATGTATATTATATATATAAAGATATACGCTTTTAAAATATGATTGTATTATATATCCTTTAAAAAATAACCTCCCCTTTTCACTTAACAATATAAATCTGCTGGGACTTCCCTGGTGGTGCAGTGGTTAAGAATCTGCCTGCCAATGCAGGGGACATGGGTTTGATCCCTGGTCCTGGAAGATCCCACATGCTGTGAAGCAACTAAGCCCATGCGTCACAACTACTGAGCCTGCGCTCTAGAGCCCGTGAGCCACGACTCCTGAGCCCGTGAGCCACAACTACTGAAGCCCACGTGCCTAGAGCCTGTGCTCTGCAACAAGAGAAGCCACCACAATGAGAAGCCCATGCACCGCAACGAAGAGTAGCCCCCGCTCGCCGCAACTAGAGAAAGCCTGCGTGCAGCAACGAAGATGCAACGCAGCCAAAAATAAATAAATAAAATAAATAAATTTATGAAAAAGAAAAAAAAAGACCCAATGCAGCCAAAAATAAATAAACAAAAAAATATATATATAAACCTGGCAATGTCTCCATGACAACCCATCATTTTTTGATGACTGCTTGGCATTTTGTCATGTGGATGGGCCATCCTTTATGTAAGCAATTCCCTATTATTAGACATGTAGGTTGTTTGCATTTTGTGACTATTTGAAACTATTATGGCATAGCTATCCTTCTATATACACCCCTGTGCACTAAAGCAGGATATAAATAAGTGGTTAAAGTGGCAAGTACCAAATAAAAGTGTGTTCAGATGCATCCCCATGAAGTCCAGTGGGTCATCCTGAGCCACCTACTGCAGTACCCAGACCTGGAAGAGCAGCACAGGGTCGGAGACACTTCTAGCCAACATGGCAAGTCTAACCACACTTTTCCTGTGTTTGTTAGAGTTGAGGAAGAGAAGGCTAGAGTGAGGCCGCAGAGCTGGTGAAGCAAGGCTAGAGTTAGGATGTGGGCTGGCTGGTCCCTGTAACTCTGAGCCTGTGGGCTGTCTTCCTGGCCATGTATCCCACAGCTTCTCCGTTCCCTGTCTGCTTGACCTCATCTTTCACTCACTCATTCGCTCACTCACTCCTGGAGCACTTTTTTTTAAAACATTATTTATTATTTATTTTTTGGCCGCGCAGCACATGGGGTCTTAGTTCCCCGACCAAGATCGAACCCACGCCCCCTGCACTGGAGGTCCCTGGAATACTTTTTGAGGTCTGCTGTGTGCCAGGCCCTCTTCCCATGCAAGGACCAGTGGGAAGTACAAAGATGGCTCTGAGGTGGCCCCATGCGTGCAGACCACCTGGCCTGCCCTGAATCATTGCCTCACCTGGCCCTAGGTTCACATAACCTCCCTGTTCTAGCACTGTCCATTGTTGAGAGAGGGGTGTGGTATGCAGTGAAGTGACTCAGGACTCAGTCTAAAGCCCTTGCCCCAAGCATTTGGATACACTGCCTGTCACTTGAAAGCAGGAGAGGTTTTCTGGCAGCATCCTGGGACCTAGAGCCATTCGTACATTGTAGTCATTTGTTATTTGTTGTCTTTAAATGTTTAAAATAGGCTGACTACTACTACTGAGCATATTTATCATTAACTTGTACTTAGCACTGCTCAGACTCAGAGATACGTGTGTGTCTCAACAGTCACTGCAACTTCATAAACAGGCTTTTAGTCCCCATGGTACACATGAGAACACCAAAGCTCAGAGGTTAAGGGATTCTCTCTGGACCATGGAGTCAGCCAGTGAGGTACCCTGGGATTCAAACATCACCCCAACCCCCCCTTACCCTCTCCCTCTCTTTTCCTTTTTCCTTGGCCAGTTTCCTTTCTAACATGCCATACACTTATTTATTCTGTGTGTGCTCAGGGTCTGTGTCCTCCTAGCAGAGTGTCAGCCCACGAGGCAGGGTCTGTTGTCTATTTGTTCCTTTGTGGGGCAAGGTGCCCAAGCAGTGCCTGGCACCTAGCAGGCATTCAGTAAATATGTATTGAATGAATGGCTGTCTGATTCTGAAGCCTGGACTCTGTTCTACTACAAACCTTGCCGTCAAAGACGATGGCCAAGAGGAGACGGCTTATTTGGGGTAATGACCCCAAAATGGGAGGGGAAGGGGTGAGAAGCTCCACTATGGGGAGAC